ATGATGATGCACGTCCTAAGAGTCCCAAGTCTCTGAAGAGCCGCATAAATAGCGAGGACCTCAAAGCAGCTTATGAACATCAGTGATTTTTATGCTCGTGTCTCCAGAGATGTAAGCAAATATTTTTATTTGTTTTCTGTGTGGGAAAGTAGAGACATGGAGACTTCCTCTCAGAGCCGCAGACCTGGCAATCTTGGGGTTTTGGGGGCAGATCAGATTGCTTGGATGCCCCCATTATCTGTCTGCAACAAATACAATGTGGTGGCAACCTCTGGGGCAGGGGCTTCCCACCCTGGTACCTGAGCTTTCCTCTAGGACTACTTCTCTTTCCACCAGTTTTTGCAGGAACCTAAGACAGGTGGGGTCCTAATTTATGGATGCGCGAGAACTGAGGATGAAACGTGTCCCAGCCTCCTAGTCAGTTAAGCACCAAGGTTGAGGGAAAAAGGGTATTCCTTCTGGCAGAGCCCCAAGAAGCACAGCAAACAGAAGGAGTCGGTCTTGTTCCCTTACAGCACCTGCCACAGCTTTTCCTTTGAGGCTGCAGCATCCCCACTGCTAGGTCTGAACAGATCGGTAGTGTGTTGCCTAGACAACGAGAACTCCTACACATTGCTATTTATTCTGAAGGACACTTTCTCTTATCTGTTGTTGCAAAGCCCTCAAAAGATTGCATGTCACATGAAATTCCTCTTTCTCTCCCATGAGGTAACTGGACTTGAAGCTCCCCTTCTGATAGCCACCTCCTGGGGGCATGCCAGCTAGCTGGGTGACTGGGAGGACACTTACCAGGTTACAGGTCCTCACCCAGTACCACTCATAGGGACCTTTACGTGTAAAGGCATGTGGGAAGAACACCCAAAGGATCTGTAGGGCAGGATCAGGTGCTGGCCAGCTGGCTATTACAGGGCAGCAAGAAGCAGTTGCAGTAGAATTGACAGGGGTTCCTCCCACACGCAGCGTCCCTCCGCTGTCACCTTAAATGTGAAGCTCAAATTGAGCCTGTGGAGTGACGCAAGGAAGAAAGGCTGTGCATGCTGCTGTCCTCTGTGCCCCTCTGTTTTCTGCTAGCCAGCCTCAAAACAGCCAGAGTGCTTTTGGGACCCCTCTGAGGGCTGCCTGTCTGTGGCCCTGCACTCATGGGCCAGGCTCCATGTTGCGCCTGCACCAGCCTGTGCGTTGGCAGTGCTGGCGGTGGGGGTTTGAGGCACCGCGCCTCGCCTCTGCGTCGTCCCCGGGCACGTGGTTTCTGGCATGGCCGCACAGTTGTATACAAGGCATGCATGAATAATGTGGAGCCTATGGGTTGCATATAGCGTTTTTCTACGTGTCTTGCTGTTATTACAGTGGAGCAACTAAGTGATATTAAGCCCTCCCACTAGAGAAAATGCATACAACTTTTGTGAAGTCTGGAGAGCCATGGTGACTCTGGGCTGTGCCTCTGGCTCTGCTATTGCAACTTGAGAATGTCATGAGTAAGCAGAAGGAAATGGAAAGAGGTGAAATATTTGGTTTTACTGTGAGCTATGAATCTAAAATTTTGAGGGCTGGGTTTTGTCTTTCAGAAGACTGAACGCTACAGCTGGGCTTTAGCTTAGCTACAACCAAGTTTGGGCTGGTTTCATTTTCCTTTTCCTTATTCAGAGGCTATTAATAAAAGTGCATCATTTGCACAGTTTTCTTATGGAGAACCAGACAAGCAGTAAACACACTTTTGTGCGTGCATGCATGTGTATTATGAGAACATATGACTTAAAATGAATGTACTGCTGGGGAGGTGCCTGGCATCTCTCCTTTCATGCAAGGAGAAATTTCAAATCATATTAAGGAGTTAGGCAAAGAGTGAAATCGAGTCTGGCATGCTATTAGAGTGACAGCAGGGCTATGAATATTATTAAGGTGAATCTATGTTTAATGTTCTCATTGGAAACCTGAACTCCTGACTTCTTGCCAGTAGAGATGGGATTCTACCTACTGAGCCACTAATGCACAGCATATGGGGAATGTTCTTTATGCTGAAATACAATTGTTTTCATGTAGCAGGTTGTATAGTATGTCTAGGTTTCCAAAATCTAGTAGGGGACCACACTGCATGGATGACTTCAGAGTAACCAGCCCCGATACGCGTTCCGCTAGAAACCTGGGGCAAGTAGGATAGCAGATGTGAATTCTGCCAGAGCGCACACAATCGTTCAGGCCTGCAGTCTGTTACGTGCCCTGAGAAATCATGCTACCAGGACAGGAGGCCAGTGAAACCCATAGTTTGCCATAAAATGCCTGGGATAGGCTGTGCGAGGTTGCGGGATGTTGGCTGCTCTGCAGGGAGTTGTGATGGGAACCTGGCTCCCCTTAGAAACTGCGAGCTTTGTGTCCGCATCACGTCTCCCTGGGTGCTGTGGCCAGGATAGAGATGAAGCAGGGAGTCTGGCTCCCATCGCCCCCGCATTGCTGGCTGTCTGTAGCTGATCTGCAGGCAAAGAGGGCGGTTCGTGCCAGCTGTGATACGCTTTGAATCTGACTTGGGCTCGTGTCCTCAAGGAGCTGGGCTGACTTGATGGGCCCCTCTGCCGGGCGGCCTCAGGCCAGAGCTGCTGGAACTGGATGCACCCCGATGCCCAGGAGGCAGTGGGCGCCAAAGCAGTGCCCCGTAGCAGCCCGGCGCCCTGAGGCGTGCAACGCCCCGAGGCTCTGCCATGCTTCCCACTCTGCCATGGCCTGGGAGTCTTCCTTGCTTCTGGTCCACGCTCTTGCCATCTCTTTCTGCAGCTCAAAGCTCAAAAACAACCCACCAGCGACATATTTTGGATCTTTGTAATGTCTCGAAATACTTCATCCCCCTAACCTGAACTGTTTTGGATTATGATGGCTGTTTCTGGCTCTTCCCTTTCTCCTTCTGCACTATGGAAAAATATCAAAGTGAAAAGAAAAGAAATCCTTTGAACAGAGAAAAGACTGTATCCTAGAGTACCCAGGTCAGCTTCTTTAGCTTCATTTGCCTCATGCACAGTGAGAGATTCTGTCAAGCACGTGCACGTTTTGTAGTGCTACCAATGTCTTTACAAGGTATAGTGCTGGGGAGGATTAGTCTGTTTAGCCATATAAAGCTCTCATTAACTCCTGCTGAGTTCAACAAAAGTCGCTCATGTGTAACTGCTGAATAAAATGGAGTAAAGATTTTCAGGATTTAGCCTGATGATTGCTGAAAAAAGAAACAAAAAAAGATTCGTATCTCAGGCATTTTTGTATCATGAAAAACTACTTAACATGAAGGAAATTGTTAGGGAAAAAAAAGATGAGAGTTAGAGTAGAACTTTGCAAAAGAAAACACAGCTGAGGAAAAAAAGTGATTTGGCGTGAAGTAATGGCAGCCTTTTAAATCAAAACAAAATTTTAAATAATTAAGCTGCTTGACAGTTCAGAATAATTTCCGACTATTCAGTTTATCTGCTAAAGAGCAGTTAAAATGTACTCTGCTTTATTGCTTGCTAGGTTACAGCCTTCTTTAAAAAATAAGCAACACAGAGCAACACAA